GTTTAAAAAGTTTGAGGACTCCTGCATTAGCTCTTCGTAGTAACACTTATAAAGTGGGTATTTCCCCCCAGATGAGGAAACTGAGATTTGGAAAGGTTACTTTATGTAAAATCATTTAATAAGAGATGTTCTTCAGGCTCATGTCTGTCTCGCTCTAGGGTCCATGGTTATAACCATTATGCTAACATTGAGAATCTTTCTGGAATTGCCTCAAGTTAAAATCTGAGCTGTAGTGTTGGGTGTGGTGGCTCACACCTGTAATCCTAGCACTTTGGGAGGCTGAGGTGGGTGGATCACTTGAGGTCAGGAGTTCAAGACCAGCCTGAGCAAGAATGAGACTCCCCTGTCTCTAAAAATAGCTGGGTGTTGTGGTGGGTGCCTGTAGTCCCAGCTACTTGGGAGGCTGAGGGAAGAGAATTACTTGAGCCCAAGAGTTTGAGGTTGCTGTGAGCTGTGATGTCACATTATTCTTCTGAGGGTGACAAAATGAGACTTTGTTTCAAAAAAAAAAAAAAATTCTGAGCCATAGAAAAGACCCTCTACTAGACAGAAACTCAGTTTTTCACACAAACCATAGATTTAAGTGCTGTCTCTTAGGACGGAAAGATTTCTGATATGATGTGTGCCCATTAGTCATTTTTGATAACTCAGAAAAGAAATCGTTGCTATTATGTATGTTATAATGAATGAGATTTTTGTTAAAAATTACCTGAATTATTTGCAACCAGTGAAACTTTCCTTAACCTGTAAATGATTAATTTTGAGACAGAGTCTTGTTGCTCACAATAGAGTGCCATGGTGCCACTTAGCTCACAGGAACCTTAAATTCCTAGGTTCAAGCGATCCACTTGCCTGAGCCACCTGAGTAGCTGGGACTACAGCAGCCTCTATGATGCCCAGCTAATTTTTTTTCTATTTTTTTAGTAGAGACCAATCTTGCTCAGGCTGGTCTTGAACTCCAGAGCTCAAGAGATCCTCCTACCTCAGCTTCCCAGAGTGTTAGGATTACAGGTGCGAGCCACTGTGCCTGCTAGAAAAACAACTTTAGAGAAACATGTGGGGCCTGTCTCACTTGTTAAATGCTCTTTGGAGATCTCTTCTATTTTGTACATTCTTTTGGAACTGTGTGTTTCACAGAGGCAGGAGATGCGGGAACCTATGAAGGCAAGTTGAGCAGTTTGAAGTCTGCCTCCATAAAAATGTCCTGTAGCAGTAGCATATTGCTTTGTAGGTAGTAGGTCTTCAGTTTTGAGTGAATGAATGGAGAACTGGGAGGAAAAACTAAAGGAAGTTGATTTTCTAATAATTCACTTTTAAATTATCTTTCAGTTTTTATTATAGCATTTGTGGCTGATACTATTACATCAGTTATATAGGTTGACTATGGTTTTTTTTTTTTTTTGAGACAGAGTCTCACTATGTCACCCTTGGTAGAGTGCTATGGCGTCACAGCTCACAGCAACCTCAGATTCTTGGGCTTAAGTTATTCTCTTGCCTCAGCCTCCCAAGCAGCAGGGACCACAGGTGCCTGCCACAATGCCCAGCTATTTTTTTTGTTGCGGTTGTCATTGTTGTTTAGCTGGCCCGGGCCGAGTTCGAACCCCCCAGCCTCCGTGTATGTGGCCAGTACAGTAACCACTGTGTTACGGGAGCTGAGCCAGTTAACTATCGTTTTATAGGTAAGTAGATACTGATAGAGGAGGTGGTTATAGTCTTTGAATTCTTACTATTTTTAAATCCCCATTGTTAAAAGAGTCTAGAATCAAGCTTAAAAGGAACTCTAAAGTTCAATATTTTTAATTTTAACTTTTTATTGAAAGTATACTTTCACTGGAAGTTACAAGAAAATGTACAGGAAGGTTCTTTGTACATGTAGTCCTTGAGTTACTAACAGACTGATGTATGACTTGCACTTCTGAATGGAGGCTATGGCAGGTAATAGGTAAATGTACCTGTTCTAACTTACATACAGATTCAACTTAAGAACACACCTATAGGCTGACGCCTTTCTTGGACTCAGCTCACTCACACCTGAGTGGAATAAAGGTCGAGTTCTCCACACATTAAAAAAACAAACAGCTCGGCGCCTGTCGCTCAAGTGCTAAGGTACCAGCCACATACACCTGAGCAGGCAGGTTCGAATCCAGCCTGGGCCCACCAAACAACAATAGGTGCAACTAAAAAACAGCTGGGTGTTGTGGTGGGTGCCTGTAGTCCCAGCTACTTGGGAGGCAGAGGCAGGAGAATCGCTTGAGCCCAGAAGTTGGAGCTTGCTGTGAGCTGTGATGCTATGGCACTCTACCCAGGATGACAGACAGCTTGAGGCTCTGTCTCAAAACAAACAAACCTACAGAACCTATCATGTTTGTAACTCAGAGACTGCTTTCACCCAGTGTCTCTTGGTGGTAACATTTTGTGCAATTTAGTTATGTGTCAAAATTAGGGAATTGCAATAGAGTATGTGAGATTTCACCAATTTTATGTGCCCTTACATGTGTAGTTTTACATAATTTTATTAAACATACAGATTTGTGCAAGCACCGCCACAATTAGGATATAAAATTATCACCACATGAAGCTCATTTTTCAATCTACCATGTTTTGTGATGGAATCCTTCCCACACCCCCTAAATTAGTGGTTCTCAACCTGTGGGTTGTGACCCCTTTGTAACAATGAAAATACATCCTGCATAGCAGATATTTACATCATGATTCATAATAGTAGCAAAATTACAGCTATGAAGTAGCAGCGAAAATAATTTTGTGGTTGGGGGTCACCACAACATGAGGAACTGTATTAAAGGGTCATGGCTTTAGGAGGCATTAGGAAGGTTGAGAACCACTGCCCTAAATCCTAACTCCTCTGGGCCAAATAATTCTCCATCTTATATGCTAGCTCAGATCTGGAGATATATGTAAAACACATCTGTCAGGGTTCTTGAATTTAGAGGGCTTCAGCTGATATGGTGAGTGAGATTCATAGAGTCATCCCAAGAGCTGACTCTGCACTTTATTTATTTTTTATTTATTTTTTTGAGACACAGTCTCACTTTGTCACCTTTGGTAGAGTGCCATGGCATCATGGTTCACAGCAACCTCCAACTCTTGGGCTCAAGAGATTCTCTTGCATCAGCCTCCCAGGTAGCTGAGACTACAAGTGCCTGCCACAACACCTCGCAATTTTTAGAGACAGGGTCTCACTCTTGCTCAGGCTGGTCTTGAACCTGTGAGCTCAGGGCAGTCCACCTGCCTTGGCCTCCCAGAGTGCTAGGATTACAGGTATGAGCCACTGCGCCTGGCTTACTGTGTACTTTGAAAGGAAAAGCAGCAGCATGAGATGATTGGTAGCAGATCTCCCCCAGATGGTGGAGCAAGAGGCTTTTGGAATAAAAGGAATAATAATTTCATTGTGATGTTTTTCTCCTTTTGGTTTGGGTTTGCTATGAGCAGACAGTAATGGTAATAGCTATTTGTTACTATGTGCTGTGGTCTTCATAGCAACCCCTCTGATTTTGTTGTAACCATCTCTGCTTTACAGATCAGGAAATGGAAACTTTGTGCGTTGAGTGACTTGTCTGCAAATGCACAGTGAATAAATGATGGAGTTGGGTTTTGATTGTCAGTAGGCTGACTCTAGAACCCACATTCTTTTCCATAGTGTTGTTTAACAAACACAGAAGCTTCTGTGGGCAAGAGTAGGAAGTTCTGAAGTTTTGATTTTTGAGCTTAGAGTAGATGTGCCTAGATGGATTGAATACAGGAGTAAGAAATTATGAGGCAAGCATTCCAATTTGGATATTTGGTATCTAGGTTGTTCTCACTACATCTTCATGACCCAGGCACTCCCATCCTCTCTCTGGGCCTTGGTTGCTTTAATCTCAGATATATCTAAATGGATCTGTTTTTTTTGTAGGAATTTCTCAAAAAAGTAGATTATAAATGGCAAGTGTTACTTCTTTGTTTTTTTGGTTACTTGACACCTTTGCTGGAGCAGGTTCCCAGTGCCAGAAGATTCTGGGTCTTATTATGGCTAGTATAAGAAAATACTATACTATACTATATATACTATAATATATATATAGCTTTTAAAAATGCTAAATTATAGGTATTTGAGGATGACTTTCCCTGTCTGGGATTTTTTTCCTAATCTGCCTCATGTCTGTTGTAAAGTCCAAGTGCTTTGTGCTTTTTCTTTTGCATATATATATATTTAACATATATATATATTTAACATATATATATATATATATATATTTTTTTTTTTTTTGCAGTTTTTGGCCAGGGCCGGGTTTGAACCCATCACCTCCGGCATATGGGGCCAGCGCCCTACTCCTTTGAGCCATAGCACTGCCCTTTACTATTGCTTTTCTGTTCACAGAAATGCTTCTGTGAATTTGAAAAGGAAAACACTCTAATTGAGAGTAAGAAATGACTGGAAAGGAAGGGAGAGAGGGATAGCTATTTTTCAACAGACTGGAACTAGGGAACTGAGAGATATTATAATATGTATGTAAGTATAAAACATCTCCTTTTCTGTCTCTATTCTTGAGCCAACAGCCCAGTTGGGACAAAGGAAAGAAAAGTTTTCTGTAAGAACTGATGAATAGAATCTATATAAAATTGTTGAGTCCTTGAAATTAAGAGAGGGATCTATGATCAAAAAACAGTTGTCAACCATATTTTTATTACATTACTTATACATTATTATTTATAATTAGGTGTGTTCTGAGAGGTTTTTTTTTTTTTTTTTGGGACAGAGTCTCACTCTGTCTATCTTGGGTACAGTGCTGTGGTGTCATAGCTCATAGCATCCTCAAACTCTTAGGCTTAAGTGATCTTCCCGCCTCAGTCTCTTGAGTAGTTGGGACTATAGGTGCCCACTACAACGACAGGCTAATTTTTTTATTTTTATAGAGGCAGTGTTTCATTCTTAATCAGGCTGGTCTCCGACTCCTAAATTCAAGCAGTCTACCCGCTTCAGCTTCCCAAAGTGCTAGGATTATAGGCATGAGTCACTGCGTCCAGCCTGCTCTGAGAGTCTTTTTGAGACAGAGTCTCACTATGTCACCCTCAGTAGAGTGCTATGATGTTACAGCTCCTCGAACTCTTGGGCTTAAGCAATTCTCTTCCCTCAGCCTCCCAAGTACCTGGGACTACAGGTGCTCACTACAACCCCTGACTATTTTCTTGTTGTAGTTGTCATTGTTTGGCAGGCCTGAGCCAGGTTCGAACCTGCCAGCCCGGGTGTATGTGGCTGGTGCCCTAGCTGCTGAGCTACAGGCGCTGAGCCTGCTCTGAGTCTTGATCCTTTGTTTTTCATATTTTGAGATCACTTTGTTGAAATTTTCAGGCAAAGTCTCAGTTAAAATGGAATGAAAAAGTTCTGTTGTACATTAATACTGAGAGATTGAATCTGCTTTCACTTTTAAAAGCAGTGACAGATCTTAGAATTAGGGACAAAGACTGGCTGACCATTTCAGTATCTGATTTGTAAAGCTGTGGGTGATGAGCAGAAGGAAAGAGTGCTTCAGGCTCATGCTTTCTCAGTTTCTGTATTCTTTCGGACCTATAATCTATCTCCTTGCTTTTTTTTTTTTTCTGGCCCTGGGAAAGTAAAGGGCAAAGTTCTGGAGATTGAGAAATAGTTCAATACCCTCATTCAGTTTGTTGCCTTAATATGTTTATTCTGAGGTTGCAGTGGTACCCTTTGTCAGCCAGAACTTCTGAAACAGTTTCTAGGATTAGACTGAAAAACATAGCTACTTAAAGCTAATCAAAAGTAAGAAAAATCAGAATAGCGTTTACCTCTAGTCGAGGGCATGAGGGGGCCTGCGCTGTCTCTCTCTCTGGATGGTGGTTTTGGGGGTTTATTCATAGGTTGAAATTGAGTTTATATTTAAGTTTGTTACACCCTATGTATTCTTTTCCTTGTATATGAAATACATTTAAATTAAACAATGAAGACATCAAATATCCACTGGGGAGAATGGACCCAGGCATCTTTAATTCTAGCCTAACATTGCACAGCACTGATTCTCTTCATAGGCATTGTGAGAGGAAATGAGGCTCCTTCTGGTGGGATGGTGTGGACTCTGGGTAGAGGGGGAATGGAGCAGAGGTTAGGTTAAAGAATAGCTTCACTGACAGCTCCCTGTGGTATTTCTGTGGAAGGTGAGAGCACTAGTATTTATTATTTCTTGTTGAAGTCTCTAGTACTTCAAGAAAAAGTTCAGTTCTTAATCCTTTCCTCAGCCTCCTTATTTGGTTTCCTGCTCTCAACTCTTGGTACACTTTCATGGTTGGCCCCTTGAGAATAAGTTGCTATTGTAGAGGATATTCAGCATTTAGTAATATTTTCTTTTTTTTTTTTTTTTGCCGTTTATTTGGCTGAGGCCTGGTTTGAACCCACTACCTCTGGTATATGGGGCCGGTGCCCTACTCCTTGAGCCACAGGTGCTGACCCTAGTAATATTTTCTTCTGAAACTACTTCTCTTTTGACACTCTGACAGAATCAGCTTTAGGTTGGTTAAGAGCTTTTCCTGCTTTAGGTTGGTTAAGAGGATCAGTTGAGTGTGTGTTCTATTTTCCCTTTTCTTGATCCCATACTGAATCCGTTGTGATTCCCCAACTCTCTGCCCCTTGCAGACCCCTTGTCTGTGTCTCCTGCCCGCTGGGCTGAGGAGTATCTGGAACAGTCAGAGGAAAAGCTGTGGCTGGGAGAGCCTGAGGGAACAGCTGCCGCTGATCGCTGGTAAGTTTAGCCACCTCTCTCTGGATTCCTGTGAAAGGAGTGTTGGACAGTTTTCCCTGCCTCCCCCAACCTTCTCTATCTACAGTCTCAGACCAACATGCAGTCTCCTCATTTTCTACTTTATTCTATTTAAGGTTTCCACTTGTATTTTTATCCCTATGAATTTATGTTTCAAATATAGTCAAGAATCAAGCTGTGTATGGTGGTGGGTGCCTGTAGTCCCAACTACTTGGGGGGCTAAGGTGGGAGGATCACTTGAGCCCAGGAATTTAAGTCCAGCCTGGGTAGGATAGCAAGACCCCTATCTCTTAAAACACACACACACACACACACACGTATGTACCGGGACTGTCTGGAAAGTATCCAGCCATGTAAAATGAAAAATAATATTAACAATGGCAAGATACTTTCCAGACAGCCCTCATAGAGTCAGGAATCCTAACTATCTACCAGAAGTTAACTACTCTACCTTATGTAATTTGTTCCCTTTAAAATTTTGAGTTTTCTACCATTTATTCCTTCTCTCTGCAAAGATATGTTTGGAAAAGGGAGAAGTAAAGGATGTAACTATTACTTTTCCAATTCCTGTATCAATGTCCTTCTTTAAATGTAAATTGGAATTTGTAGGATCACAGCAAAGAGTAGAATAGTGTTGCCCTCTCTTTTCTCCCATAGTAATTGTAACTGCCATCAGGCAAGAGTGGGGAGTAACACAAGGAATGGGGTGGCAGACTGACACGTAAACTTAGTTGGTTCTTACCTGTTCCAGGTATGATGAATATCATCCTGAGGAGGATCTGCAGCACACTGCCAGTGACTTTGTGGCCAAAGTGGATGACCCCAAATTGGCTAATTCTGAGGTGAGCCACAGTCCTCTGCTGCTTTGCCCAGCAGAGCTGGTTTTGGAAGGCAAGAGTCTTGCTTCTTTTACCCCAGTTTAGTTTAAAGAGAAGAGATCCTAGGTCTATTCCTTCCTATCTGGAGAACAGAGACTTAGGATCCTGCCTTTTTCTTCTAATATTCATTCCCTCAGTTCCTTGCCTACTAACACTTTCTCTTTTCTGGTGCTTTTTTAAATTGTTAGAGCCAGAAATGCCTTTCTTTTTGTTTTCTATTTTTTTTCGGTCTTTAGCATATCTTGTCTGCAACTAGATATGGTCGGGGGAGGGGTGAGCTCAGGGTCCTGTTGGGCATGGTTGAGAGTGAACACTTGGATGTCCTCTCCCAAGTGGCCTGTGTATGTCTCTGTGCCCCAGTTCCTGAAATTCGTGCGGCAGATTGGCGAGGGGCAGGTGTCCCTGGAGTCCGGTGCAGGGTCGGGCCGAGCTCAGGCAGAACAGTGGGCAGCAGAGTTTATACAGCAGCAGGTAGGACATTATCACTTCCCAGTCCTATTTAAGAGCAGCTGATGCCCCAGGCTTTGTGTTCAGTGGTCCCAGATGGGAAAGCATTTTAAGGCCAGCTTTTGGTAGCATCCAGGTCCTAAGTGGGTGGGCAAGAGACTGTGAGACTGTTCTTCTCAGAAGTGTCCACATTGGTGGTGTTTAGTGGGTATGTAGTCTCTGTCTAGGGCATAGAAAGTTGGTGGTGGTGGTATTCACCATCCTTCTTTGTTGTAGGGTACATCAGATGCCTGGGTTGACCAATTCACAAGACCAGTAAACACATCTGCCCTTGATATGGAATTTGAACGAGCCAAGTCAGCTATAGAGGTGAGAACACATAGTGCAGGAGCATGTTGTGCAAAAGTTGCGTGGTGCAGAGCCGCAGAGATTAAGACCTGTGATGAAATTGTATGGCAAATAAGGAAGGCTGTAGCTCTCTCATGGCATGCAGCAACTTTATTTCTTCCACCAAAGCTTATATAGGCAGTACTGTACGTACACACAATTAATCGATAAACTTATGACTTAAACTTAGCCCCAGGCCTTAAACTGCCTGGCACCTACGGATTAACTTATAACCATTTCACTAACATTATCTAAAGTTATTCTCATGCTAAGTAATCAAAAACAAAACCACAAAACAAGGTTTTGGGGGAATAAGCTGTTTGAATGCTTGACCTTCAATAGACCATCTGGAGGCAGTCATTCATCTTTAGGGAGTAGTCTGGAAATTCCTGAGATA